GTGACCCTGTAAATCTTTACAGGAGCAGAAAGCCTCATCTTTCTCCCATGGAACAGCTGGTGGTCCTCTAGCCACTGAGTTCCATGATGGGTGTGACTTGATCAACTGTATCAACCAGTGCATCTGCAGTATTTGGCTGGCACAGTGGCTGCCTAGAGCAGGCACTTGGGAAGTACTTGTTGAGATGGGATCGGTGCAGGAGAGAGATTTGTAGCCGTTTGTTGGGGAGGGGAGGGAATTTTGACAGCCTTTGAGTTTGAGTTGGGGAAACAAGGGATTGCTGGGATCATTTAATAGTCAATAGCTGAATAATTTATTAAATGAACTTGAATACATTTTGACTATCTGTTCAGAACAGTTAATTGATGTACGCTTGGATCCTGTACTTCATTAAGCAGCAAAATAGAGAGTCCTTAACTGAGGTTGACCTAATAGGAAAGTAGGAAAGTCTTTGTAATTTATTCATACTTACCACAGTCATAGGGTAAAAGCCCTTAACCAAGGAATGTGCTTTGATTCAGGGGCAGCAAGAACAGGAGTGACCGAGAGGAGATTGTTGGCCACCTTGGAGCTCAGGGCATCTTCTAGCCACTCAAGGAGGAAGGAAGCGCTAGTGTCCTTCACAGTAGCTCAGGGCTGACTTGGCTCTGGCTGCCTTCTTACCTCCCACTTCTCACCCTCAGAGGAACTAAGCAATTAGGGGATGTGGTTCTCTCTGGACATTACGCCTTGTTTTCACCTCTAGCTGCTGTTCTCTCGTTTTCTGTACTCAGGCCACCTGAAGCTTTTTACCTGTCCGTCCTCCAAGTACACTAAGCCTCTTCCTAGCTCAGAATTTTTGCCCTTGCTGTTTCCCTTTCTGACATGACCCTTTTTCTACGTCTAGAGAGGTCTCTTATGAGTGAGTACTCTAGCTGTTGTTAGATGCCTTCGACTAGGTTCCCGCTCATATCGATCCTATGTACAACAAAATGAAACACCACCTAGTCCTATGTCTTCCTCAGCATTGCTACTATGCTTGGGTCCATTGCTGCTGCCATAGTGCAAATCCATTTAGTTGAGGGGGGTGGGCGGCGGGATGGCGGGGGAAGGGGTCTCTGTCTTTTTCGCTGACCCTCCACTTAACAAAGCATGATGTCCTTCTTCAGGGACTGGTCCCTCCTGACGATATGTATGAAGTAGGAGAGATGAAGTCTCTCCATCCTGGCTTCTAAGGAGCATTCCAATCGTACTTCTTCCAACCCAGATCTGTTTGTTCTTTTGATGGCCCATGGTACCTTTAATATTCTTCTCCAGCACCATAACTCAAATGCATCCATTCTTTTCTGGCCTTCCTTATTCATTGCCCAACTTTTGCATGCCTGTGAGGCTACTGAAAATACCATGGCTTGGGTCCAGCATACCTTAGTCCTCAAACTGATGTCTTTGCTCTTGAATACTTTAAAGAAGTCTTGTGCAGCAGATTTGCCTAATGCAATACATCGTTTGATTTCTTGACCGCTGCTTCCATGAATGTTGACGGTTGAGCTGAGCAAAATGAAGTTTTTGACTACTTCAGTCTCTTCTACATTTATCATGATGTTTTTTGTTGGTCCAGTGGTGAATATCTCAGTACTCTGGTTGTTATTAAGTGCCGCTGAGTCAGTTCTGACTCATAGCAACTGTGTATGGGATTTCCAAGGAACAGCTGGTGGGCTTGAACTGCCGACCATGTGGCTCACAGCCCAATGGTGTTAATACCAGGAGTCATAAGTACTCTTAGATACTCTAAACAGCATCACCCTCATCTCTTGATCTTTTTTTGTGTGTGCTTGATTTGTTTTCGGAGCACCAGTAACTCCCTGGCCTACGTCTGTTTGGTTATTTTGTGCTGCCCTCACTAAATGGTGATACATGAAGTCAGGTGGGATGGTGGGCTGCCTTGAGCATTGCCTGGTTCATTACAGGGACTCAGATGTGTGCGTAAATTGAGGAGATACTGCAGTTTCTTTTCAATAAGATTGATTTGGGAAATAATCCCAGAGTCAAATTGTGATTCTTTAGTGTAAGAACCAAGATGACCCTACTTAGAGCCTAACATTCCATCTAAAACTAAGGATGTCTGTATCCCAGTTTATGATGTGTTGAGAATTTAAAAAAAAATTCTTTTGTTCCAAAGGTTTATTTGCAAATTGGTTTCTTGGAATGAGAGCATATTTTCTAACAAGGAATTCTTATATAGACCCAGAATAATACTTAAATTCGAGAAATTCCGCCACATGCGGAAAGACTACTTTTCTTTTGTTAACTCATGCCCCTTCATTCTTCCCCGAAAAAGGCTTGTTAGCTTACAAAGAAAGACTCATTTATTCATCCAACAGAAATATTCCAGTGACAACAAACATTTAAGGTTTGCTGCTAAGCCTCGGAATGCAACATTGAATAAGATAGACACCATCTGTCTCATAGCAGCGTAATTAGACAATTATTTAAAGTTGTGGTAAGAGCTCTAAAGGAAAGGAAAGGAGAGATGGTGGTTCTCTGAAGGCAGACCACTCCTGTCCACAAGTCCTCTTTCTTCTAGTTGTTGAGTTACTGTTTTCTAGAAATGTTCCAGAGATGGTCATAGCCCCTGCAGTGGAGATTCCAGCTGGGGGCTGGAGGCCTGGATATGTTGGTGTGGGTTGTATTTGCATTTCATTGTAGTGTGAATGGGCTGGGGAACCTTCCTTAACTAGATAAATGAACCCCCATGAGAAAGATTGGGTTAACCAAAAGCATTACCTGCATAGGCATTTTCCTTCATATTCACAGGAGTTTTCAGAAATTTTAATCCAAGGGATCTCTAATTTGCACTCAAGTTACGTGTTTCCTATAGGAATGGCCATTCCTGCCTTAAGTTCAGTCCCTTGCTGACCTGTCCCTGGAAGTTGGGAGGTTTCAGGGCTGAGGTTCTGAGATTATATTCTAGCAATTACCTGGAAACACCACAGTAGCTTTACACTCGGACTCTAAAGTGAGACGGACAAGGATTCGCATCCTAGACCTGAGGAAATTGTACATTGTCTGTTGTTGTTAAGTGCTGTCTAGTGGGCGACTCACATCGACCCTGTATAGGGTTTCCAAGGAGCGGCTTATGAGTTTGAACAGCTAGCAGCCTCCTTTTCTTCCTCTGTGTGGGTGTATGTATGGGGGAGGGGTAGCTGTTTAGAGTAAAACTCTCAGCTCAGTAAAGAAGTTGTTACAGTTTGTAGTGAAAGAGTGCCTAGAAGTATCTGTTTAGATTACCAGACAGTGGGCTTTTCAAGGGATGATCAGTAGGGTGTCAAGTCCTTTTAAGGTTTGTTTAGAGTTACATCTGAGAAAAGGGGGCAAACGCTCTGCTAAATGATAGTAGGGCTCATAGCTCCTGCTGGGGTTTGTTCATATTATTTATCAGTGTTGTAAAATAATTGCTATGTGTCCTAGGAGACAAACTGCCAAATTTAATACCCTTTCTCATTCTTGGAAAAAATTGCTCACATTTCCAAAACTGCAGTTTATAAATGAAGAATTAAAAAATGAGGACACTGTTTAGAAGTGAGAAGTGTGTGTATTAAATGTACTCACACCTTTATAAAAAATACCTTAAGGCCATTTTCCAGGGGTGGATTTGATACTTCCATGTTTCAGAAGACATTTAAATTGTGCTTAGTGGCACCGTGGCGGGGCTAAGTTGCAAATCAAACGGGGAGACGCATTTGTGTCTTCTGAAGGGTAACTCCTGGGGCCTTGCTGGACCCAAGAAATGACGCTTAGCCCACACATGCCCTCTCCTGTGTATTTCAACTCAAAACGGGCCTTCAAATGACTTATTCTTTGCTTTGGGATTTATTTCAAGTAGTAGTTGATGCTAAGAATAAAACATTAAAATGCTGGGAACCTGTAAATTTAGTTGCTCTTCTTTCCTTGGCATATAACGTTCTTAAAAGCTAAAAGAGATGCATTATTGTAAGGGAAATTACCCTTTTTAGCTTGGAGTGGTTTTTGTTCTTGTTTTTGCCTGTATCAATTCCATTAAAAGTCCTTCAGAGATGTTTCCCTTTGCAGTGAAATCAAACACTGTCTACTACACTCACACCACAAAACCCGTTGTTGTGAACAGTGCCAGATGTGTGTGCACAGCCATTCCCTAGGGCCTATGAGGGGGCCCTAGCAAGTTCGTGGAAAAGTTGAATGAAAAGATGATAGAATTTCTCCACAAGCTTTTTGAAGACCCCCTCATGTGTGGTACTATTTGATGGTCACTTAGTTTTCCTGATTTGAAAGTTAGTTTTGAAAGAAGTGCCACTTTGTGACAGTTGGCAGGAATCCCCCCTGCTATTTCTGAGCTACGTATAGAGTAGTAGTAAGAATAGGGTGAATCCTAGCCTAATCTTTGGTTAGCAGTTGTTCAAAGCCTGGATTTCTTAGCGTCCGTATGGTAAGTGGTGACTTGATATATTATGGTCAGTTGCTGTTTCCTGGAAAGATCACGCTCCCAGTTAGAAACTGAGAGAAGGCGTGTCTTTTGGGGGTGGGCATTCTGATGGAGTGAGAACATGCATGGGGTGTGGTTGGGTTGGTCAGAGTGGCAGGATGTGCCCACAGTATTCAGTAAGTATGAAACGTTGATTTTCATGTTTCAGGTGTGCCGAGTGCTGGTGGTAGCCTTTGATTTGAAATGCAGCGTTAACTGTATTTTGCTGCTAGATCCTGTGGGAATTTAAAGCCACGCTGAGCCCGAAGTTTACATAGTTTGAAAATGGCTACAGGTGGCGGGGACAAAACAGATGAACAGAGACATGCGTGGAGTGCAGTGGTCCCTGTGGAGCCTCACAGACAGACACCAAAGCCTCTCCTGAAGGCTTCACATCATTGCTTGGGTTTGGCTTTGGCCTGCCAGCTTCAGGTTTCAGTTACCGCTTTGCATATTTGCTTACTGGGCTGGAAAATGAAACGTTAACTGTGTTCTGATCCTTCTGTTTCTTGATTTGCAGAACACTACTGAGTCTGTGGCAGCCACCGAGACCCTGGCTGAGGTACCTGAACATGTACTCCGAGGACTTCCGGAGGAAGTGAGGCTGTTCCCATCTGCTGTGGACAAGACCCGGCTTGGTGAGTGTATTACCATGGTCACAGAGAGAGATGGGGAGAAGGAAAGACTGTAGCCGGACTTCCTTTGGGGTGCGTCTGAGGTAGGGAGTTCACCATACAAGCAACAGATTTATACTTAGGTTTGCAGGATTATGTGGTGTTTATGAACTTTTTCCCATCACAGATTCAGGGTAGATATGGATTATAAAGATGAAACCAGAGTACATATGGACACATGCACATGCGGTGCCTGCACACACACGTCCATATCCACCATAACTCAGCTCAAATGGTCCTTTTCTCTGGATTTCTTCTTTTTTCCTTAAAATATGGGATTCCCTCCCTTCTGATGAGTCTGATTATTTTATGATGTTTCCTTTGTTATTTTGTAATTGTGTTCTTAATCTACTCCTGACATTGATTTGGGTACCTTCATTTCTTGTTTATCATTATATTGTTGTTGTTGAGTACTGTCCAGTTGGTTCCAACCCATAGCGTCCCTGTATAGGTTTCTGAGGAGTGGCTGATGAGTATGAACTACTGTAAAATGACTTTTCAGTCCAGCGCATTAACCCACAGCGCCACACCAGGACTAATTATATCATTAATGCCTGACGTTTCATAGACCCTCAGTAGATATTTGAATATGGCCTTAGATTATCTGAATGCCGTTGGGTAGGATTTCTCATTGAATAAAAATCAAACTTGTGTGTTGTTATGGCTTAATCTTTAAAAAGAAGTCTAGGGAAGTAAGCTATAAAAATTTAGTCAAAATACAGTCTTGGACTATAGCACGTTGATGCACGACTTTTAAAACCCTGTATTTATAATATTCCAGTTTTATATGTCTGTGTGTGAATATATTTTTAGTAAATGCTTTTCCCAATCCTCATTTAATAGTATTCAGTGACTACTTTGGGTATTTATATTGTCCAGGCAAAAGTAGTTGGTTTTGTAGCTCAGCTAATGGATTGATCAATGCTCATAGAAGCAGTAGTCAAGAAATCAAACGACGTAATGGGCAAATCTCTGGCACATGACCTCTTTACAGTGTTCAAGAGTTAAGATGTCACTTTGAGGACTAAGATGCACCTGACCCAAGCCATTTTCAATAGTTTTAATAAGTTCACTTGCATGTGAAAGCTGGACATTGTATAAGGAAGACTGGAGAAAAATTGATACAGTTGAATTATGGTGTTAGCAAAGAATATTGAATAGACTGTGGAAGAACAAACAAATCTGTGTTGGAAGAAGTACAGCAAGAATGCTCTTTAGAAGCCAGGATGGTGAGACTTTGTCTCACATCCTTTGGACATGTTGTCAGGAGGAATCACTAGAGGGTCAGAGAAAAAGAGGAAAACCCCCAACAGGATGGACTGACCAGGTGACAGTAATAATAGGTACAACTATAACAACAACTGTGAGGGTGGCACAGAACTGGGCATGTTTCGTTCTGTTGTGTGGAGGGCCACTGTGAATCAGAGCTGACTCGACAACACTTAACAACAACGGATTGTTAACTGTTACCAAATGTGACTTATTCCAGACTTAAAGAAAGGTGGGATGCATAGCTTGTCCAAATCTCTGTTCTGTAGCTGCGGAAAGGTGAAGTACTTGCCCAAAGTGATGCTGTTATTGGCTCTTCGACTCCTGAGCTAGTCTTGCCATTTTACCTAACTGCTGCTTCATCTTGTCTGCTTGGTTCGTGTGTGGTCAGTACATAGAAAGTAGAAATACACGTAACAATACAACCAAACCAAAGGCCAAACCCACTGCCATTGAGTTAATTTGGACTCACTGTGACCCTCTAAGGGGGCTTTCGAGACTGTAAACCTTTTCTGGTGCAGACAGCCTCCTTTTTCTTCAAGGAGCGGCAGGTTGGTTTGAATCGCTGACTTTGTGGTTAGTAGCCCAGTGCCTAACCCACAATGCCACTGGCACTTCTTAAGAAAACAACAGAGCAGTACAAATCTTGGCTGTTTGAAATTCTGAAGAGTGAACTGCCCACATTGCTGGGTTTTAAGGAAACTTGTCTAGGGAGTAGAGAACTTCCTGCTTCAAGCGAAAAGACTCCAAAATTATTTAATCGTAAACTTGTATTTCTACCTTATGAAAGTAACACGTGTTCATTGGAGGCAATTTGCAATCTGTAGACAGGTAGAGAGAGTAGTTTAAACATTATGTATCATTTCACTACATAATAATATTTTTTCTCTTAATTGTTTTTGTGCTTCTTTTCAAGTAGTGTTGGTGATTATCGGTCAACTTCATGTGAAAAACTTAAGAGTACTAACATAAAAGATTCTTTCCTAATTAAAAAACAATATATGTAGGCTCTTTGTAGAATATTTGAAAAATACAGAAGAGTTGAAAGAATAAAAGTAAAACTCTCCATTGAAGACTTGATTTAATTTGATTAACTTGATCTCACCTGATGTTGCTTTTCAACAGTCCAGCCCTTTACGTGTTTGGTAAAACGGAAGTGATTTTAATACTTTCAATCTTTAAAATAACTGCAATATGTATTAAAATACTGATTTTATTTTCTAGGTGTCTGGGCCACGAAACCAATTTTAAAAGGCAAAAAATTTGGGCCTTTTGTTGGCGATAAGAAAAAAAGATCTCAGGTTAAGAATAATGTATACATGTGGGAGGTAAGAAAGCGTTGTGATCATTTTGTTTTCCAGAGGTCTGTAAGCTTCTAGATGCATCATTATCTTTTGCCTCAGGATTTGACGTTTGGAAATTAATTGAAGACATTTTTAAGCTTGTTGTTTAGGCCCAAGAATGTTTTTATTATAGAGAAAATATGTGTCCTTGGATACTGACTGCTGTTTACATATGCCTTTGCCATTTGAAACCATGCAACAAGAGATGTGAAATGCACTTCCTATGTTGCCTTTGAAGGTGTTCTTTGTGGGTGAGACCTCGGCTTGCTGTGCCTTTGCAGGCTTCCAGATCTACACAAGACATTCCAGTGTGGCTGCAGTGAGGCTCAGCTCTGTATTGTAGAACACCGTCTCCGCCTTGCCACACTGCAGGGTGGGGAGCACTCTCAGTTCATGTTCTCACAGTAGTCCTGAAAGACAGAAGAGTGCATCGTCTCGCTCCTCCCAGAGATGTGGTGAGACATTGGGATGAATTGCTTCTCCTGGGGAGCCCACTTCTGGGGAGTGCTGTGGCAGCAGAATCAGCACCATGGCTCCTGACAGATGTCTTCATTGGGTTGTCTGGGTTCAAATCCGGCTCCAGCTTTGTGATTGTAGATAGGCTATATAATCTTTGGGCTAGGAAAGAATACCTCATTAGGGTGCCTGTGAAGTTAAAGTGTGTGGCTGCTGCCCTTGTTGTTTCCCGGAGAGCTGCATGTGAAATCCGCATTAATGTTGAATTTACCTCAGATCAGGTGCTCTTTACATATGTAAAGGAACTCCACTGTATGAACTCTCTTTAAAGCAAGTGAAGTTTTTGGATAATGAGGACAAGCATTCCTTTCTTACATAAACAAATAAAAGCGTACAAAATAAATTATGTCTAGGAAACATCTGAACACTTTCCATCAAGAAAGGCCTGTGGTATTTATGTGTTTTCAGTATGCTGCTTATTCTCTCATTGCTATATGTACCTTTTTTTTTTTTTTTAATGTTTTATTGTGAATTATGTGGTAGTTTACATGGGAGAACTTAGCTTTACATTCATCCTATGTATATCATTTCATTGCCATGATTACAATCTCCTCCAGGCATCATCAACCGACCAAAGGCTATATCCTGCAAGCCTGCCCCCAAGTCGTCAGCACACAGACCCGCTCCCTCTCTGGGTCTAGAGTTCCCAGCCGCTCCATCTCTCCACGTCATCATCTCTGCCTCCATCTCTAGTGTCATTGTTTCTCTGGGTAGGGTCCTGCTCTCCTCTCTTCTCCCTTGAAGGTCCCAGGGTCCCCTGCTCCTAGATTGTGAAGTCAGTCACTCCCCTCCTTGCTACAAAACGTCTACCTTTACATTTCCAACCCTCACAATCAGTCTTGATAACAATTATTCACTATTATATCACAAGACACCTATCCACATTTCATTTCATCAGCCCCGCCCAGACAGATCGGATTCTACAAGATTCTACCTTCCTCCACGCCCTCTGGATCTAGGTTCCCTCTTGAGAGCTTGTAAGCCAGTCACTTCTTGCCTTTGTAGCCCGTCCCATTTTGGGTAGCCAGTGTCCAAGTTGCCCATCCTTGTCTACTCTGTATATGGAGGGGGGGTGGGAATGATTCTTGTTGTAAAGATTCGTTCCCTCTTTTGAGCTACTGCATCCATAGGTGTAGGTCAAGTTCATCAAGTTGTATCAGATTACTCTTTTTTTTTCTCTTCTTTCTTCTTCTAGTTTAGCTCTGATCATCCAGTCATTGAAGCCAGGTCAAGTGGGTATTATCTGCAAGTGTAGATGTTCTTATATATACGTACTATTTTTTAACTAGATAAATCCCATGTTTCCCCCAACTATTTTGAGTTTTTTTATTTCCTGTAAGTCCCTTACAGTGTACCTTCTGACACTTAACCTAAGAGGCATTAGGAAATAGGGATTCACTGCAAGAATCACTGCATTGTACTATTTTCACCACCTTTGAGGTAAAAGAATGCTGTTATGGGTATAAAAACAAGGCAAAATAGCCAGCTAAAAAATGATGTTAGTTACTAAATACAGCGCCCACATGATTAGAAATGTCTTGACTATAAACTTATAATTCAAAATAAATTGCATTTTGAATTTTGTAAGTTTCCCAAGGGAAGCTAATGGGTATTCTGTGACCAACTTAGCATTCATTTAGTGAGGGTCAAGTCAGGGAAGGGAAAATACTGCTTTCAGTTTATTCTGTATGGATAACTAACTAGAAGCTTCAACAAGAAGAGTGGCCATTAGTATTAAATTTAGGTTAGTGATACCTATTGCATACAACACAACACTTTGAAATTGTTGGATATACTATATAAATCGTGAATAGTGCCTTTTATAAATTACCATTCATTTACATTGAAATTCATATATGTTAGTAGCTTATTGAAAAATTGTAATTGGGAGCCATGACATATTAGAGACTTGATTTCTGCTATAACCTTGTTAACATCCCATTGTAATTTTAAGATGCACGTTATTAACAGTTCCTGTTAATCAGGTTTAGGGACACTTAGTTTTTTTCAAGAGTGGTTGTTAAGTGCCATTGAGTTGGTTCCGTCCCTGTATAGTGTTTCTGAGGAGCGTCTGGTGAGATTGAGCTACCGATCTTGTGGTTCAAACTTGACTTTTGTAGTACACTGCATTAACCCACAGCGCCACACCAGGACCAAGGTAGCCTTTCCTTTTTGCAGTTACAAAATAATCAGGATCTCATTTAGTTCATATTATGAGGTATGAGATATAAAAACCTTTTGCGCTATTTTTAAAATACATATTTTTTGTTGTTAAATGCCATGGAGTCAGTTTCAACTCATAGTGATCTGTATAAGGTTTATAAGGAGTGGCCTTATGGTTCATACTGACCTTGCGGTCCAGTGCTGTATCCCACAGCACCAAACCAGGATTCCAAAATATATATACACACACACACACATACATGTATATATATGATAGTGGTGGTTATGCGCTGTGGAATTGGTTCTGACTTACAGTGACCCTATATAGGGTTTCTGAGGAGTGGCTGCTAGGTTTGAACCACCAACCTTGCAGTTCAAACTGACCTTGCGATCCAGTGCTTTATCCCATAGCGTCATATCAGGACTCCAAAATATATACATGTTTGTGTGTGTGTGTGTGTGTGTGTGT